CAGAGTTTCTAGTATGTCACTCAAACATCCACTAGACATAAGTCACTTATCCAACTTATTAAGCAATGAACATCCACCTATGATTCATTGAAGGGAGAATGGCTACCTTTATGATGACCAGGATTTCATAATCACTATGAACCCAATTTTAGTTTACTGGTGTGTAAATTCAGACTGATGAACTAATTCCATTATCCTTACTATTCCTTCTAGTGATATATTATACAGCATATTGATAGCATCTTAGACTAAAATTATTAATTTGGTGCCAACATTTTAATCTAAAATAATTAGAACTTTTCTATATCCAACAACAGTTGTAATGTTAAACAAGTCATACATGCATACATACATACATACATACATACAAGAGCCACAAAGATAATTAGGGGATTGGAGGCTAAAGCACATAAGGAATGGTTGCTGGAATTGGGAATGTCTAGTTTAATGAAGAGAAGGACGAGGGGTGACATGATAGCGGTGTTCCTATATCTCAGGGGTTGCCACATAGAAGAGGGAGTCAAGCTATTCTCCAAAGCACCTGAAGGCAGGACAAGAAGCAATGGATGAAAACTAATCAAAGAGAGAAGCAACCTAGAACTAAGGAGAAATTTCCTGACAGTTAGAACAATTAACCAGTGGAACAACCTGCCTCCAGAAGCTGTGAATGCTCCAACCCTGGAAGTTTTTAAGAAGAGACTGGACAGATATTTGTCTGAAATGGTATAAGGTTTCCTGCCTGAGCAGGGAGTTGGACTAGATGACCTCCAAAGTCCCTTCCAACTTTATTATTATTATACTTAATAAAACTGGTTGATAACAAATTGTGCAATTCAAATAAATCTGCTATTTAACGGAATGCAAATGTATTCTTTTGAACACCAACAGCTCAACCTATATATGGCTATTTAATTAGATATTTTGATTAGGGCCTTAGATATTTTTTTCTATATATCTGTTTTTTAAAATAGGGCCAGGTGAGCAGACAAAATCACTTAGGAACTGCCAATGAATTTGCTGTCCACCTGAGATAAGTTCAACAGCAGGTAGAAAGATTTTATATGAGCTCAGCAACTGTATATTCAGCCAAATGTGGTAACAGTGGTTAATAAAGACATCGATAAGCAGCATTCAGCCTCCACAGGTGGCAGCATATAGTCAATTTTAGCTGGTGTGAGACAAATTAGAATTGAATCTAGTTTGGTGGGCAAACACTAGCAATTTTGAGGGCTCTAGGCTACCCTGGGAAGTAAAAAATAAAATAAAATCCTTTGATGGAATAGCAGACAATTGTGTTGTTGCCAAGAATGGGATAGATCCCAACAACATAGGGATTGAGCTCCGCTTCAGGGGTTTTAACAAAACAAAACAAGAAGCTCTTGTGCTAGTCACTACATCTAAGTTCAATATTTTCGAAATCTAGGGATAAACCAGCATTGTTGCTTACTGTACAGAATAGACAACTGCAAAAAGTCATTCATGCTGTACTAATACGGCAGTGTTTCCCAAACTTGACAATTTTAAGGCATGTGGACTTCAACTCCCAGAATTCCACAGCCAGCGTTGCTGGCTGTGGAATTCTGGGAGTTTAAGTCCTCATGTCTTAAAATTGTCAAGTTTGGGAAACACTGTAATACGGTATTAGTTTGTAGTGACAACTCCCTAAACTACGATGTTCTGATTTGCCTAAATTTATGAATTGACTAGGAATAGACTGATTCTAAGTGGATTTTTATCTTTTGATCTTTCATTTACATAGAAATATGAGACTATCCTGCTGGTTCGGAACAAGACCCATCTTAGTCCAGCATGTGATACTTTTATGGTACTCTTGAGCAGGAGATAATTCTCTCCTGCTTTTGTTCCCCTTTGAAGACATGCTGCCCTGAGACCAAAGGGAACATTTGAGCCTTCGAAATTGATAGCACTTGATAGATTTGTCCTCCATGAATATATCCAACCTTTCTGTAAAGTCGTTAATCCAATTTAGTCTGTTTCTTGCAATAATGGATTCCTTAGGTGAATTATATGCTAGGTGAAGAATTGGTTTCTTTTACCTGTTCTAAATCTTCTACCAATCAACTTCATAGGATGACTCTTGGTTTTACAATTCTCCCTTCCATGAATGATTTTGTATACCTCAATCATTTCCTTTTTTTCTAAGCTAAAGATTTCCAATGTTCTAATATTTGCTTGTAAGGAAAGTGCTTTAGCCCCTGATAGTTTTGGTTGTCTTCTGCACATTTTCCAGCAGACCTTGACCACATTTTGAAAAAATCAAATGTGATCAGAACCATCTATAGCAGTGTTTCCCAAACTTGACAATTTTAAGGCATGTGGACTTCAACTCCCAGAATTCCACAGCCAGCATTGCTGGCTGTGGAATTCTGGGAGTTGAAGTCCACATGCCTTAAAATTGTCAAGTTTGGGAAACACTGATCTATAGCAGGCGTGTCCAGTCTACAGCCCATGGGCCACATGTGGCCCTAGACAGCTAGTAATGCAGCCTTTTAACTTTATTACATGATTTATATACATTAACTATATTATATATTATATGTGGCCCAGAACAATTCCTTTTCACTCAATGAGGCCCAGGCAATCTAAAAGGTTGGACACCAATAATCTATAGTATTTCAGATGCAGATATAATCATAGCATTTATGAAAGGGTATTACAGTATGGTTTTTGGCCAGTTTTATTTTCAGTTCCTCTGCCGATGATCCCTGGCACGGAATTTGCTTTTTTCTCAACTGAGGAACTGTGATTTGACATCTTTATGAAGTTATCCATTAGGCCCAAGTTCTTTTTTTTTATTAGTTACAGACAGCTCAGCCCTTTTTTAAACATATGTTCCTAAAGGTGATCCTGAGTATAACAGAACACAGTTTAATCACTAGATTGTTAGGATGTTCTAAAATTGTCTTTAAAACAGTTCCAGTAACGGTTGGGGAAAAGGAGAGGATGTACAACTGAAATAAATGTATTACTTTACATAAAAAAGCATAATCAAGCAAACAATTTCCTCTTGATAAGAGCATTTTAAGATGTTGCTTAATTTATTCTTTAAATCAAAATTTTATTCAGATAGATTATACCCAACATATTCCTAGGTGCTGTTTTAAATAATGCTAAACCTTTAATAAATATATAAGATTGTACTAATATATTTAATTCTAAGTAAAAAAGGTTGTGACAGACATTTCTGGCAAGGCTGAATTTATATAATCAAAATAATATAGAGCTTAGTCCGTATGACGGTTTTCTCAAAATATCAGTTCTTGGGAACTTAACATTAAAATAATTATCTCCAAGCATTATAGCAATCTAGCTAAAAAAGAGGAAAGATATATTTATACATCTTCCTGCAGTGAATATACAAACATTACGAGTCTCCTTTATCTATTATAAAATTACAATTTAGGTTTGGATCTAAATTATTGGAATTACTAGCTATTTTTCAGTGTAGACTGAAGATACTATACCAGCTTGTCTTAAGCATACCGTATGCTAAATTCCAGCCCTCATAATTCCCAACTGGTATGGCTATGACACCTGCTTGGGGAATTTGTAAAATCATATTAATCTTCACAGTCTGTATGAATCACTTTAGAGGACGCAGCTGAACAACAAATTCTGAAGTATGAAGTAAAATCTTTTAGTTAGGCCGGGGGTAGGCAACCTTGGCTCTTTTATAACTCGTGGACTTCAAGTCCACGAGTTATAAAAGAGCCAAGGTTGCCTACCCCTGAGTTAGGCGATGAAGAGATTGGAAAACCAACACAAAATGTACTTTTTGCAACAAGACTACTGGAACAGTGAACATATTTCTTTTAAAGAATATCTTAAGTTAATATAAAAGAGATATGAATAAATGCCCTGCCTACATTTTTCATTTTTTCATTTTTTTTTAAAATCAACTGAATTTTAGGTATGAATATTCCAGCAAAATTTAACTTAATTTCAACCACTACTTTAGCACTTTGAACCTAGAATAAACCATAAAAAAGAATAAAAAATGAGACTTGCCTTAAAAACTGATTATACTAACAGTTCTACAGGGCCACATCTTATTTAGTATATTTGTAAATGATTTTGCTTTCAAGTCTGTAGAATCAAACCCAATACTATTAAGTTTTCAATTTCCACAGAAGAATTAACGTCTGATGCATATGGGTCAAGCAACCTTTTCTTTTTAGATAGTTTCTCCAGAATAGTTAATTTCTTCACGGAAGCTCTGATATTGATTTAAGTGAACTGTTCACGCGCTGAACACAGAAAGGAAGTCTCAAATATAGGACCAAAAGATTTCTAGTTTTTGTATTGTTCATTCAGCCAAAGGTGAAAGTGGATCGTCTCCTTTAAAATACCTTAAAATCTGTTACTCGAGACCCACCAATTGACTTAGAAACCCCACATCCTCTTTATATTATTTTAAATTATTTCTCCAAAAATCTTGAAAAAGCGTGTCGAGAACCCTGAGGTCTTCCATTGTAATTAATATATTATTAATAATATATTATTAAATATTAGCTCCTCAATAATTTCAGCAATATTTACATGAGTGAGACTGCTCAGAAAGTCAAGATGCTGTAGTCTAAAGCGGTGCAAAAGGAAAACAGGCACTCCCCCATTCTTCTCTTAAATATCTGGGGGAAAAATATTTAGAGTAGGAGCTATAAACAAAAGTTATACAGCATGTTCATAAAAACTAGATTTCCTTTTATAAATTTCAGTTGGGTAGCTGCCAAAATAGAGAGCAATCAACATCTTTCAAAAGTGTATCCAGTAAACAAGTCTTACCCATTTTGAAAAGTGTGAGACCCTGTAGTGACAATCACAGGTTAGTATTCATCTAGCATGTGGCAATAGATTCAGCATATTTAATTTATATGAGATACAAGTTATTCCTATGTGTGAATTGATTACCCCAACAAATTCAATTTTTATATTGCAGAGCATAACAGCTGCCATTTAAAGAACCATTACACAATTCCAGCTTTCAGTTCTCATATCAGGTTAATAGATTTATTGTGGCTTTGAGCATCAAAAAATATTTGAGGTAGACTACTAGTCTTTGTCAGATATCTCCCGGGAATTTTAAGAGCTCAGTTGCAATGAGGAATTCTTGGTTACATATGCACTCAGTGGTACTTGGGAGGACAAACTCTTAAAGAAGTTGCGTGCATGATGTATACCTGTGAATCAGGGCAAGAACCTCCTGCTTCTAAAGAGTTCTTAGTAGTACCCATCCAGAGAGAAATCTGGAAATCCTACAGATCGCACGGCTGAATCCAGATTTAGAGGAGCATCCCACAAAAAGCAGATTTCTTTCCTGTTTGCTAAGGGAGTTTTGCACACATTAATAAAGAAAGGCCTGTCAAATATTTTCAAGGAGTGGAACTTTTAAAAAGTTTAATCGTTGTCCAGTATGGTTTATGCAATCTTCTAGGACCTAGAACGAGATGGCAAAGTGTTTACTCAGTGACCGTGTCTTCGGATAGCAGAAGGCTCATGTGGAAAGTCAGATGCTTATTCATGTCAACTGCATCCTTCCCATTTTCAAAATTATCCTAATATTGCTACAGAGTATATTATTCTGAAGAACCTCCCTGTGCTGTCAGATGGAGATACTTGAATAAAGGTCTTCTATTTGTTTCTTGAAGTATTCTCTCAGCTCAGATCTCCTGGCTTTTAATGTAGGTGTCAACAAACCATTTTGTACTGAGAACATTTCAGAGTGGATGTAAACTGCTTTAACCTGAAATGTCAAAAGTGAAATAAAATTATATAGGTATAAAAGGATCAAAAGGAAAAACAAAACTAAATCCTTATCTGAAAACTCCACTTGGTTGCTTCCTGAAATTTGCTGATAAATTGTGGATTTTATTAGGCAAAACAAACATAATTTACAACCTTTCTGACAAAAATCACATTGATTCCAACTGATGAAATATGAATATGCTTTGTTTTACTCTGGTTTTGAATGAAGCAAATCCCTTTGACCTGCAATTTATGCTTTATTTTTATTGTATAATCACTGTCAGATGTTTATGGTTGACCATTTTTTTTAAAAAAAGGTGAGCCCAACTGTTACTTTCATTTTCTGGCAAGGTATACATTCATTTTAGACTATTTAACCCTGCATTCATTTGCTTCATCCCAGTTTTCCTAAATAAATAAATTTAACTTTATTTTGCTACCAATTTGCATCTTTTCATTTAGGAATCTGCATTTTTCCCTGTGAGTAAATGCTGCTATCCACGGAAGGCGCTGTCTGTCTGTCTGTCTCTCTCTCTCTCTCTCGTCATTATTACCAGTATAATAATATTTAACAATATATTCTACATTAACTTTTATTACGCCCACACAGATCTTCTGGGGTGGGTATTTATAATAAATTTAAATGGATTAATTCTAAGTTAATTTAAACGGTAACAACTGTTACAAACATAAGCCTAGACTAAAACAATCAATGCAGAACTGCTTCATACTCCCTCAAAATCCAGAATCCTTGATATAGTTACAAAAAGGCCTGAACTGCAGCTAATATTTATTTATTGTACATGTTTAATGTTACATGACTCGGATTTATTGTTTGTGTTTTGTGCTGTAAACTACTCAGAGTGGCATTATTTGAGTTCATGGGCCATATAAAATCTATTTTATAAATAAATAATCAATAATTTTTCTTCATGCTCTCACTTGGCATTTCACATTTATCTTTTGAACAGACTTTTAAAAATACATTGAAACATCAAAATAATAAAATGTTCTGTGGCCGAAAACAATTCGGAGATATTTTTTATCTTCCTATTGGCTTCATAGGACTGTCACAGGAAAACATGCTTTTGCAATATTAAAAATACTTTCAGTTTTTAACATTGAAATTGGTTATGTGTCCTGTAGTTATCTTTCTCTGGTTTAAAGGTCTTATCATATATCACGTTGATTGCTTCCAATGAAAGGCACCATTGTGGGGCTGTGCACAGGGCATCAGTTGGCTTAATCTGGGTCTGCATGCTATGCAATACATTTTGTACACTGGAGCAGCTTGTAATTTAATAAATAAAAAACAAATTGTGACAGTGGTGAAATGCAAGATGGTAGAAACATAAATTTCACAGAATGGACCTAGACATTCTGTCAGGTAAGTCGGCATGGAATTATATCCCAAGGGATTTTTTTTTCAATAAGTTTTCTTCCTCTGCCCTACGGGTGTACAGTCCCCATGAACAAACATCTACTGTATTTTAAGTTCTATAAGTCTGTTACAAAACTATCTATGTACATATGAGAAAATAGTCTATGCAGAGAACAAAAAGAACTGCTGTATTTTCTAGGTCAGCTATAAGAATTAAGGGCCTGAACTAACTTCCCAGAACTGCTTTCAGCTTATTTTGATATGTACTATCTATTACAAGAGATTTTTTGAAAGTGGCTCTTATATATCAATTTAAATAAAGATATTTTAATAAAAACAGAAATGTCAGCGAATATATGGCTGAACCACAAAGCACAGTAACAATGTGCGGTTTTATATAATGCATGCTAAAATCCCCTCCTGTTCATTCCAAAAAGGAGTTCATCTCATTTTAGTCATCAAAGTTATTTTCAGTATTTACCTGTTCAAATGAATAAAGTCCGCTTTCTTTTCCTAATTGCACCATGTCTTCCATTATAGCGTCTTTCAGCTTCTAAATAAGAACATAAGACATCTATTTATAGCTACGAAGCTCAATTTAGCAACAAGAAAGTATTAATATTCAAATACTTTCCTCCTTTTTATGTGCTTGTGTGCTGGATAGGTAGCAGTGAAGGAGGCACGGAATGCCTCAATCAAAAAGGTATGTACCACTTTAAATCCCACCAATTCTGCACACCCATTCTCCTAATTCTGAATTCTGGCTTCATTCACGCATCACTTGTGGTGGCCTTTAATTGATTTAATTGAAGGTTGTACCTCCTTGCCCAATAAAAAGCAATGTTCAAAAACTTTGGTAGAAAGCCCTGTAAACAATCTCCAAAAAGACCCCTTCATCTTTATTTTTCAAGCATGCATGTATGCATGTACATGCCAGCACATCACACGCAAGCTGAACTGTTATTTGGGCATTGGAACTGAATTTCTAAAGCCTTCATTTCCATGCTGGATTTAGCATTAAGGCCTGAAATTCATGGGCCAATCCACACATGATGGGTTACCTTCTACTACAAGGAAAACAGTAATTCAAATGCTATAATTTGCCAAGGTTATGCCAGTTTAAATGTATAATGTAATTCCTCCACTAGGCATTTGGTAAAGGCAAGATCCCTAGCTGACCCAGTTTTAAGTATTGTTTTCTTTTAGAAAAGAGCTATGGAACATTGTTTGCTATATGATAACTGCTGCAAGACTATTATATGCACATACATGGAAATATTCTAAAATACCCACAATGGAGGGGTACTTAGTAAAGATGATAGAACTAGCAGAGATGGCAAGAATGATTGTCTGATTAGGGAAAGGACAATGAGCTCATTTATTACTGACTGGAAACCCCTTATGGAATTTTTTGCTGTAGAAAAAAAAACTTGTGATTTATGGGTTTGACTGTTAGAAAGGCTAGATTATGGAAAGAAGGAAATTATGATGTAATCTTAAGAGAGTAATATATATAGTACAAGCATTTGTAACTGCTATTGAATTGGAAATTGCTTCTTTATATTGTTTTCTTTCTTTTTTCTTATTTTCTTCCTTATGTATTCACTTTTTATTTCTTTTATCCCTTCTCTAAAAGTTGTATTGCTTTCATTATTAAAAATTAACAACTTTAATTAAAAATAGTTTTAAAAAAGTAGCTGTAATCCCTACTTCCTGAGCATTCTTAAATATGCATTGCTTTCTCATCACCCCATCCCAAATTCAAACGATAGTTAGAAATGTTTGAATTTTCCTAACTTTCTCAAAGTTTTTTTTTTTTTATCCCTGACATTATATGATACTGGCCTAATCTGGCTTTTCCCGTTTTGTTTGCTTTTATTATGGGTTATGTTGACTGAAAGTTTCAGATTCTACCTCTACTGATTTTTGGTTCTGATAGTTACCTATAGTCATTCTGGAATTAGGTGGCCTCCTAAATAAATTAATGGTTTATGTGAAATGTTTTAAATTGTACCACTATTATGACATCAGACATTAATTCATAGAGCACAAGTGGTGTTCTGCCTTCCACAGAATACTTTTAGTACCCTGGCAAATTCTGATCCCACTAGAATTTTCATCTTGCCTTTTACTTGCATAATCTTGCTAAAACAGGGGTGTTAAACTGCCAGCCCACCGGCCGGACGCATCATCAGGAAACCACGCCCACCCCATTGCCGGCAATGGCGAAAAAGCTCCGATACATTGTGCAATGTCACGTGATGTCACAAGTTTGACATGTCTATGCTAAAGGAACATTGTACTTATGTATTTGGAGTCGAAAGCAAAAGCAGAAGACTACATACCATATTGTTACAAAGCTCTATAAAAGTTCCATCAAAGCCCCTTTTCTTGGCCCAGCCTGGCATGACTTCAGCATCCGGTACAACTATCCCCACCAGAAAAGCCTACAAGATAAAATTGGAATCACATTTGTGACCAGCTTTTCAGCTTAGTTCTATGATCCCCAAATGGTTAAATCAGCCATTATCGAATGAAAGCAGATGTATGTTTCATGCCCAAAACAATTGAAGTGGGTCATTTCAAATTTGAAAATGTTTTGCACATCTCCATTTGCTACATATTCTGAAATGCCTCTTGCATCAGCAAAATAGCACTTTCTAATAGCTGAATTTATTCCAAAAGACTTGTGGCACCATCGGGCAATATACATTCTCCACATTATACTAGACATAAAGTACTGTACCTATATTTCACATATGTAGAAAGAAAACAGATAATTATCTTGAGACAACTATGCCACACTCGTAATACAGACATAGTGTACCACAAAAAAAAAATAGCTATCTTAACTTTATAGGAAGTCACAATAGATATTTCAAATTACAAAACAGGAAAATTATAGAAATGCCAAGAGTTACCTGTAAGCTATCTCCGTGCACATATATTTGGGAGACAGGTTCACTACGAATGTAGATATTTTCAATTTTTTCTGGTGCAATGTATTCTCCCTGAGCCAATTTAAATATATGTTTCTTTCGATCGATGATTTTGAGTGTCCCATTCTGTGAGCAAACCACAAAAAACAATTATGTTGATCTAGGAAAAATTATTAGGCAATAGAACTATACTTAGACAATATTTCAATTTATTTTACATTTTGGGAATGGTAAGAGAAGCTAAAGTTATATCTCCATGGTATAGGAAAACTGGCAGCATATGGCTTAACCCTATACTTACTTAATAGAAAAAAATCTGCTATTATGAATGAGGCTTCCCATTTAGTAAATGGTTTTGGGATCACAATCTTACATTGTATTAAATCACATCAATAGTCTGTCTTTTCTCTGAAGATCCCTCAACAAGAGAACCAATATGTTGTAGTGGTTAAGTTTGCAGGACTGGGGAGATTTAGGTTCTAATCTATCCTCAACTATAGAGATTTGGACATTTGTGGTCAATCTCTGTAATCCAACCTACTTCACAAGATTGGAATTGGGAATACAATGAAGGGTGCTTCCCACCCCTCAGACTGAGCTCATGGAGAAATGATAGACCATAAAGCTAACAAACAACAACAACCTGAATTACCAAAAGGGTGATCAAATTAAACCCAAATTTCCCTGGAGAAATCCTGATACTTCCTTGCTACATTATAGTATCTCATCATCTATATACACATAAATATCGGTGCCCAACTCATTTATCCCTTTATCATTTCCAAACATATCCCAAATCAATAAAGATGTAGCTTTTCAACTTTATTCTTAATGTAGTAATGAAAAATTAGCAGTTCAGTACATACAGACAACCACTTTCCAATGTCCCCTGTATGAAGCCAGCCATCCTTGTCCAAGGCTTCAGCTGTTCTCTCTTTATCTTTTAAGTAGCCCTTGAAAACATTGGGACCTTTGACACAGATCTGAAAGAGAGATCAACATGCTGCTTAACAGTAAGAGTAGTAAACAAAAACAGCTGCTAGATGCAATGAGAACTAATTAGGGTATGTACTGCTAGACTAATATGGCAATCTCCCATAAAGAAGCACTTACAGACTGTAAAGGGACTTCAAGCATTCATTTGGGCTGATAACCCAACTGCCTCCAGGCAAACCAATGCTGCCAACCTTATTCACCATTGCCTGTAAGCTGCCAAGAGTTGTTTGAATTTTGCAGAGTAGAACTATTATAAATAAAATTTTGATAGAAATTCAGCAAGTACTAATCAATATGGCATATAGGTTTAATAATTAATAATAATCCCAAAATAAGTGGAGGAACACTTGAACACTGCTGGCACTGACAAAATCACTACCAGTCAATTGCAAAAGGCAGCTTCACTCAGAACAACTTACATCCTGTGACGATGCCTTTAACATCATCAACTTCCATATCTGCCTATCCCAGGTCCTTGAAAAATAAGTGAATAAAAATGCCAAATCCAGAGTGAGTTAACTGGGACTGGAATTTCCAGCACTAAACAATGTCATGTGACTGCATTGCTTAGCAATGGCAATCCCAGAAGTTCTCACTGCCATCATTAAGCAAGGACCACCTAGCAACTTCCTGCTAACTTCCAAAAAGCAAGCTCAGTCGGGAAGCTGGCAGGAAATTGCAACTCCCTGGGAGCTCTCAAGCAGGCAGGCAGGTGGGCAGGTAATTAGCCACCATAGACCAGTGTGAGAGCAATCAGGGAGGTTTGGGGATTCCATTTTCACTCCCAGAAAGCCCTCTTTTGACATGACTTTCAGAGAACCAGTTTTGGGGCAGCAAAAGCAAAAGGGATTTCTGAAAGTGCCCAAAACTCCTGAGGGTCCTTCAAAACCCTCCAAGAAGTCTGCAAAATCAAAAACATTTGCCAGATATTGAAGATATTTGCAAAAATGTAAAACAATGTCACTCTTCTTATTATTAATTTGTTAAAATGGTTTTTTTGTGAATAAAATATAGCACAGTATGTTAATATCTAATGGATTTAATACTGTTATTTTTACATAATTCAACAAATATTCTACAAATTCATCAATGTAAAATTTTAATGTGGTAAATATTAATAAATATAACTCATACAAACACAAGCTGTTTTGGGGATCCTCCATAATTTTTAAAAGTGGAAAGGGGGCAGTGAGAAAAGAAATTAAGAAACAGCACACTACAAAAAAAAAAAGCTTGCAAGGACTGACTTTCATTAATGCAGGAAGATATGAGTCACCCTAAAACCTACAATGCTTTAATACTGCAGACAGCAATTTATGTTCCTTTCCATATCAGTTAAGAACATTCTTGTTACTATCAAGTGGATAGTAACCTTAAAAACCTTTAAAAAAACCTTTAAAAAAGAACATTAAGTACATGACTTGACCATTTGCTTTACTTCTAGCAAATTCCTTTTCAACCTACTGTAATGGAACACATTTTGAAATGCTTTATTTTGGTTCCTATTCTACAGCTCTTATTTATAACAAGTGGTGCGTTTAAATCTGTAGCTAAGAAACAGAAATGAAGAAGAACCGATACTGTACATATTACCTCTCCCTCTCGTTTGGAAGAAAAGTAATTTAATTCTTCAACATCCACCAGTTTAATTAAATTACAAGGCAGAGGTGCTCCAACGTGGCCTGAAATCAAATTAAGAAATAAGCAGTTTGTTATCACATAGCTATCTGCGTATTAATAAAATAATGGAAGTCAAGCATGTGTAACTGAGTGAGAAAATTAATTACAAAATCACAGTATCTCACAGTGAGATTGGTGGAGGAAACAGCCTATACATCTACTGCTTGTCTCTCCCTGAAAACTATTCCTGAAGGGGGGGAAAACAGTGCAGAAATAGAGCTGCAATTTTCACAAATATTGAAGCTGGAATCCCAGTAAGCTACATGACTTCAGAGATTTACATAAAAGCATTTTGCTTAGCATTACTTATACTTTCCACTGGAGGTAGATTATTGATCGGTTTTAAAAAGAACTTGCCTGTTTGGCAGAGGACATTAAATGAGTCAGAAGCAGCCTAAATAGATAATTGTCTTGCAGGCCAGCATATTTTAGGATTCTGGTCTTGGTGCTTTCAACCTTACATGACCACATTCACCTGTCTTTTATGAAGCTCCTGCCTCGTTGTTACCTGAGGTCCAATCTCCTGGAGTGGTGAAGGTACACCCAGCTGTACACTCTGTTTGACCATAGCCTTCATAAACCTGTCAAAGAGACATTATTTAAACAAGACACTAATGTTAGCATTTTATTTAAAAACTGGGAGGAGTAAAGTTCTCTGCTGGGCTCAGAAGGGGAAAAAATCTATCATTCAGAATCACTGACATTGCCACTGTATGAGCCAAACTTTTGGTTCTTGAACATAACAGGTAAATAAAGAAATTAGAAATGGTGGTTAATGTTCTTTCTTCTTATAAACTCTTTCTTCTTTATAAACTTCTTATAAAGTGGAGAGGGAAAGGTTTTTTTTTATTTTGTTGCTAGGCCAGGAAAAAATTAAGTGGCCGAGAGCTAAATTATTGATATCTGCCAATAATAACATTTCTGAGGGCTAATGCTGTAGGCTCTGCCTGGACTAAGAAGTATTCCTGCAAACAAAGGAAGATGGCACTGTAAGTCGAGGCCCAAGATGACCTTGAACCCAAGAGTTTGAATATGTATCTACTATGTCAAAGTCCTGGAAAGAAAGCTTGGCTTGTAGACAATCTATCTGGAGAACACAGAATTATTTATCAAATTTGTATGCCTCTGATCTTGCCAAAAGTGACCATAGGTGGCTTAAAGGCACTGAGTAAAATGCACTATAAAACTTTAAAATAATAAGGGTCTTAAATTTAAATTAAAGATAATTTCAAGAGGGTAGCTAATCAGCAGAACTGGAAGGCAGAAGAATGGCAACTGCCATAATAATTTAGCTTCATCCTATAATGATTCAATCCAATAATTTGGCTAAAGTTGAGAAAAAAAAGTCAAATCTGGCCTTTCCTATGATTCCTATAACACATAAATATTCTTATAAGAAACTGATCTTGTTAGGATAGTTACAATTTCTATTATGAATGTATCTGATCCCCACCTGATCCTTAGGTAGAATTACAGAAAAGGTACATCTGAATGATCCTCTAGTACATCTTACCTGACATCCTAATGCCGCTCGAAGGAAGCCCAGAACTGTAGGTGAAGCAGGAGCAGCTCCAGTAACAATCATCCTAACACAACCACCCAGGTTTGCCTGTTAGATAAACACAATTTTGAAATACAACGTGGTATCAACCTATCCTTATTTATTGCTGTGAGAAAATAGTAAAATTCTCCATATAAGCAACCTGACTCCACACAAAAGTAATTCCATCTTCACTATTCTTTTAGACCTAGTTCTTCCAAAAGACTTTTGCAGGAAAATGTGCAAGTCCAGAAGCTCTGGCACCAAAGATGGTGGAGGAGTTGGTTTTAGATTTTTTGGTTTGCTAGGTTTCCTTGAATCTGACTGCTGGATCATGATGTATACACTGCTCACAGCCACATTGTGGTATATAAACCTTGGTAACAAAATAAGGTGTCTGCAGGAATGGTGTGACTGTCCACAAAGTGCAAAGACAAAGGTCAAAGGTCTATTCATGTTGATTAACTAATGTCAGAGACAAAGATAAGTGGGACTGCTCATTGCTGCTTGCAAGATAAATTTTGCTACAGTTCCAAATGCCTGAATACAGGTAATTCTCAATCGTAATGGAACCCATCCATCACAATTGTAACTCGTGATGTTCATAAAGCGAGTCAGTCAATGTGACCCACTTGATTTTACAATCTATTTTGCAGTAATTTTTTAAGTGAATCATCATAGTCGTTTAGTGAATCTGCAATTGTTAAGTAACTGCCACAGTCATTAAGCTAATTGTTAAGTAACTGCCACAGTCATTAAGCTAATTTGCCGATTTTGGGCAAAAACATCATAAAATATGATCACATCTGCAGAATGCTGCAAACAACCATAAAAGCAGCCCAACAGCAGAGTGCCCAAACTGCAGTCATATGCCCACAGGGAAGGAACCATCAGGACTTTGAATGCAGATCACAAGTTCCTCCCATCAGAAAGATGAGGACTATCCATATTGCTTGTATATTATTGGTTCCCACAACATGATTCCTTTCAGTTCTGTTGGAGAGAGCTCAGTTGATATAGAAAAGAACAAGTGAGGAAAGCAGCTACTATATATTGTTTAGATTAGAAGAGTATGCTTGAAATCATGAAGGGACCGATTTTTTAATGAGATTCAAAGACGATTTAAATATGTGTACTGTATTTCAGGACTTAATGTACTTTCCAATCCTCATTCTCCAATACTATATCAACATCACCTAATCTGCTGAAAAGGATCAATAACAAGTCAAATCTTGCCACACACAATTCTAATAATAATAAAAAAAAAAGTAAATTAGCTAAACAATCCACCAGGATAAATATTTGGGGAATGGGGATGGAAGGGCAATTTAAAAAATGGAAATTTTCCTTCCTCCCATAGCAAATTCCTGTACATTTCTATTGCAGTTGTGATTTAAAGAATATTTACTTATATGGCCTCAGATATACATAGCTGCCTATATAACTCCCATTGTTTTAGCATATTATATAGCAATAAAATCAATACAATTAAAATCAACATTCTCAATGTGAATGTTGAGTGTGAGTCTTAGCACTTTCCTGAATACTGGGGAAATGGGGGCTAAATCCATCTTCCTGGGGAGAACATTCTGGAGCTTGAAGTCCATATAGGAGAAAGCCCTTTTCTACACTCACATCTATTTTGAGGCAGCTGAGCCATCTTCTAAAGCACCTTTCCTACTGATCTGAATAATTAAACAGGTTTAAAAAATACAAACAAATATTCCCTTTTCTTTTCTCTTGGACTTAAAAGTTATTATTTTTTAAATGTTTGGTTTGAAATATTTAGGCCTTGCTTAACCACTTCCCCAGAGGTAAGGCTGTTCAACAGGTTTGCACCAAAGGGAAAAAAATAACTTGGTTATAACCAAGCTATTTTCCCATTTTTATCACCTGAATCTAGTAAACGCTCGGAGGCTTCACCTATCCCTACATTTAAGCTACCATTTTTAAATGTATTGAGAAACATCCAAGGTAAATTGCATCCCTATTGTGAGTGATTCTCACAAGTTCTGGTTTTTAATAAATCCTTACCTGTATTTTGTTAAAGAATAACATATCCCACAGACTATCATTTCTAACGATTCCGTTTTGGACTTCTGCTTTTTTTCGATTAGCAGCAAATTCAAGAAGCCAACGTTTCACAGGAGTGTCTGCTTGACTAAAAATCTACAAATAGGTGTAAAAGAACAAAGAGAAAAGCAAGGAAATGTCACTTGGACAGAAAAAACATGACAAGAAGCAAATGTATTATTTATAAAAGCAGATATGACTCTAAAAATGTCTTTTTCTCCCCTTTGTTTCAATTGTATCCAATTCTCAGGAACTTTGTGGACAAATTCCTCCAATTTTCTTGGCAATTTGTTTTTAGAAATGGTTTGTGATTGCCTCCTTTCTAGGGTTGAGAGAAAGTGACTGGCCCAAAGTCACCCAACTGGCTTTGTGTCTATGACAGGACTACAATTCATGACATCTTTATTTCTAGCCTGATGGGGGCAGGCAACCTTGGCCCTTTTATGACTCATGGACTTCAACTCCCAGAATTCCTGAGCCCGTTATGCTGGCTCAGGAATTCTGGGAGTTGAAGTCCACAAGTCATCAAAGAGCCAAGGTTGCCTACCCCTGCACTAGACCAAACTGGCTCTCACAAATGCCATTTGCTCTATACAGTTTCTGGAGTTAATAGTAACTGCGTCATAAAGTTATTAGGAAAAAGCTAATCTATCATTGTTTGAATTATGCTCTCTTTACCTTCATTCTGCAAGTCTTTTCTTTGAGGAAGAACAAGAAGATGTTTCACTTCTCATCTAAGAAGCTTTATCGGGTCTGGCAGAACTGGTGAAGCTTCTTGGATAAGAAGCGAAACTTCTTTTTCTTCCTCAAGGGAAAAAACAGTCCAGTTGCCTTTTGAAAAAGCACCTTTTAGACAACTAGAACCAGGATGACTGAGAATCTCCACAGACATTTATTCTGCAAGGCAATTAAATAATTGAAATCTAAATGGATATTAAGATATTTTGAGCGTTTTAGATCTTTAGTTTGACGTGGTTATATATAATTACTTGGGAAATTATGGCAACAGAATAAAAAGACATCTGGTAACTGCAGAGAAATCCTTAGCTCTTAAAAGCCAATTGTGGCTGATCATTATTTTTATTACTATCATATAAGGCAGTAATTATGCCAAGTCTTCAGGATAAATCACTAGAATCACATTTTATACACAGTTTTACATACAAAAAGAGTAAAGAACTGAAGTCAACTTCATTTATGTTGCATTAATCATTCCACAAAACTATATACTTCCTATCAAGTGTGTTTGTATATACGTATTTGCTTTTGATAACATTAAAAATGCGAATTCTGGGTATGTGCATGTCAGCAAAACCTAAAAGGAAAAACGAACACCAGGATAAAAGTATAAACAAGCCTTGTTTATAAAATCACTTAGCTTTCGTCAGCCAAACTGCCAACATCGTCAGAGTGAAGCTAAAAGGAGATCCGGGAGTTCACTTATGTAGCCAATTGCTTCTGTGCCCTGCTTCTTGAGCGCGTCATCGGGCCATTCATTTCAATCGGCCGTATTGCATTGAGTTGTCCCGCACCTGACAACCTATTTGAGGATTCAAAAACTATCCTCCTGCTTGCAATCGCTCCCCTGGAGCGCGTACAAACGCCCGGGGGACAGTTGTCTGATCGCTTCTACTCCTCGCCTCCCTCCCCCCCTCGTATTTGTATATATGAATATACTGCAGAAACAAGTACATTAAAATGCAGGCTAAAATAACATTGAACAATAGCCTAAACTGCAATGGAGTATATGTGTTATTACAAAAAAAGATAGTCAAAAGATTGCCGTAAGGGAACTGACTCTCTTCCTGGGTGTTATGAAAGAAAGCTCCATTGGATATAGCATTTGATAATGATGGTAATTATGTTAATATTATCCAATGATGCTCGCAAAAGCTGGGCAGATGTAGATAAAAATTTTTTCTTAATTATCCTAATACCTTGCTACTTAAAATCTTAAGCACTACTACTATAGGTAGGGTCCTGTATTCTGCTGTCCCAATACAAACCCCACCCCTTTTGGGCCTTTGTCATAATGTCCCATAGATGCCCATATGGATTAAGCTAGCAACACAATGCTGCTTTTGTCATTTTTGATGAAAGCAGAAAGTTTCTTTAGACATCGCTGGGAACCAGAATAAAAATCCTGACTTGCAAGTCCCATTCCCTACTGTATTTGAATATCATTATAAAATTATAAACTAAGGTAGGCAAATTCTGTATCTTTGGCATACCAAAATTCAATGATAACAGAGTTAAGTAATTAAAGTAAGCAAGATCTAGTCATTCAAAGTTCAACATTAACACCACATGACAAGAAAAGCAGTTCTCTTTGGATGACAAAATTCAAGATGTGGAAAGGAAGGTGGACTCCTCACAAGAAGATATTTTGATGTTTCAGTACAGACAAATGGAGTATGCCCTGAGGATCAGAGGCCTCAAGGAAGATGTGAATCAAGATCTCGTGGAGGTGGTTCTTACTGATCTGGCGCTGGCCTTGGATATGGATAAAGGAGAATTACAGAGAGAAGTGGAAAAAATTTATAGGCTCAACTCCTGGATTGCTAAGCAGAAGAACTTGCCTAGAGATGTGGTGATTTATTTTACAAAGAAGTCCCTGCGGAATGAGATTATACAAGCTTTTTACAATAAAAGATTTCAGATTGCTGCCCAAGATGTCATCATTCTAAAGGAAATCCCATCCAAAATTTTAAGAAGCAGGAAAGACTTTGCTTTTTTAACCAATGAGCTTAAAGCTAGATCGATGCCATTTAGATGGGAAATTCCGATGGGTATTGTTTTGAGCCATGCTGGGACACGCTACAGATTGAACACAGTTGACAAAGCTAGAGATTTTTATACTTCGGTCCTGGGTGCAGGCTCAACCTCATCTGGTCGGAAATCTCTGAGTGGCAAGGAAGTTGAGCAGCAATCTGAGGCATTAGATTTGGTTTCCGCTGGGATGATAGAAGCTGTAAAGCAACGCCAGACGGAGGTTAAAGAGCAGAGGATGACCCGTGCAGCCTATAAGCGTAAAGAGAAGGAGCAACGTAAAAAAGAGCCTAAAGAGAGTTCTCCTGGAAGTGCATCACCGCCGGTGGGAGGAGCAAGACCCAAGAGTTATGCAACACACGCAGCTCTTTCAGAGTTTGATGGTGTCTTCTCCAGGCTGCGTGCCAAGGGAGATGGCAAAGTTTTTGACCTGGAATGTTAATGGATTGAATTCTCCTCAGAAACGCAAAAAAATCTTTTATTATTTGAAGCAACATACTAATGATGTTATTTGCTTACAGGAAACTCATATTTTACTTAAAGATCAGAAATATTTAGTTAATGCTCGTTTGGGATCTCATTTTATATCTTCTGCTCCTGGGAAGAAAGGGGGAGTTGTTATATATGTTAAACAAAACCTACCAGCTTGTCTGGTAGAATCAGATCCCCAGGGGAGATATGTGATGATTGAACTTGGTATTTATGGTAAGAAAATACTTATAGTTGGACTTTACGCTCCAAATCAACAACAGGAACAATTTTATAAGCAGTTACATCAAAAAATAACATTGCTTGATTATAGATCAGTGGTATTAATGGGTGATTGGAATGGTGTCTTAGATATACAAAAGGACAAGAAAGGTTCCTCTCCTTTTCTTAAACAAGCAAGGCTACCTAAAGCCTTTTTTGATATGAAAGAAGACTGGGAATTAAGGGATTATTGGCGGGAACGTAACCAAGAGGAGAGAGACTTTACTTTTTTTTCTGATAGACACCAATCTTTTTCAAGAATTGACTTTTTCTTGATTACCACGGACTTGTATAATAAAGTAAAGAATGTTAAGATTTTTCCTAGATCACTGACGGATCATAGTCCAGTTTGGATGGAGCTGATTCAAGAGAAAGAGGAAAGAAGATCCTGGAGAGTTAATGAAAATTTGTTTAGACAAGAGAAGAATGTTCAAAAATTAAAGGAGTGTTTAAAGGACTATTTTGCTTTGAATATGTACAAGGGGACTTCAATGTCAATGGTATGGGATGCAGGTAAAGCATTTATGCGCGGTGTTTTGATAAAAATGAATAATTTTTATAAGCGAAATCAGATTCAGAAACGTAGAGAACTTGAAGATGAAATTAAATTAAAAGAAAGGGCTTTGATTCTAAATCCTTCTGATGAAAGTACTAAAGAATCTGTAAAGTTATTAAGGTCACAATTTAATATGTTGATAGCAGATCAAGCTGCAACCAACTTATTATTTATGAAACAAAATACATTTTGTAATGCTAATAAGCCGGGGAGATGGTTGGCTTATCAATTAAGAAAGAAACAGAGACAGAGAATAATAGAGAAAATAAATTACAAGGGTAAACTAGTTTCTCAGAAGGAATTAATTAAAAAATCTTTTTTGGATTATTATCAAAACTTATATAAATCTACTAATGTACAATTGTTAGATATAAATAAATATTTAGCTGAGGCAAGTTTTCCTAAACTGACTGAGGATCAGAAATATGAAATTAATGGCTTAATTACTAAGGAGGAAATTGCCTCAGCAATTCAACAATTGAAATTAGGGAAAGCACCGGGTACGGATGGGTTAACAGCTGTTTATTATAAAGCTTTAATGGAGGAGATGATACAACCATTAAATGATCTTTTTAATGGTATCTTACAGGGTTTAGAGATTCCTCCTTCATGGCGTAGTGCCTTTATATCATTGATTCCAAAGGAGGATCAAGATCTTACTTTACCAAAAAATTATAGGCCTATATCTCTTTTAAACGTGGATTATAAGATATTTGTAAAAATTTTGGTAAATAGGCTTATGAGGGTGGTGCATCATCTTGTGCATAAAGATCAATCAGGGTTTATAACAGGAAGGTATATGAAAAACAATGTTAGACAAATTATTAATCTATTAGAATACTTAGATAAGAACAACCAAGTTCCTGCAGGGCTCATATTTTTAGATGCTGAAAAAGCATTTGACCAATTGAATTGGCATTTTATGCTAAGAGTAATGGAAGAAATGAATTTTGGTGAAATATATTACAAGCCCTTAAGGTAATATATCAAAAACAAACAGCACAACTTATTGTTAATGGAG